CCTTCACTTGGTCTTCTTACTACTTGTTATTTGAACCTCCAAAACTTTAAAACAATATTATGTAAGTTCTCTACAATTTTTTTACATAATTTGCAATTAGTAACAAATATGTTGACACTGTCATTTAACTAAAATTACGAATTTTGAAATTAATATGATTTTTTAAAAGGCAAGCAAAGCTTAAATGTTCCTTCACTGGTTAGTTTACCCTATATTACCTTTTATAAAGAAAGCGTCAGGACACTATGAGAAATTTCTGAAGATTTTTTTGTTCTCTGCTTTTATAAACTTATAATTTTCAGTATTTGTCCCAATTATTATTTCAATACAAGTAAGCACGAGGCCAAGACGCAAAATAATAGACTAATAGATACAAGGGGGCTTTACTGCAATGTCAATCTTTCTTCTTATTGTTCTCTACATGAAAGCCTATAATTTGATTTTATATTAACCTATAAATATCATTTTTGCCCCATTTATCATTTCCATATAAGTTAACACGAAATCAAATCACTAATTCATAGATGAATTAGTTCTTGTTCAAAGAGATCCCAATGTAATGTCAGTTTTTTTCTCCTCTGCATATAAAGGTCTATAATTTGCTTTTATATTAAGCTGTATTTTTTAAAGTTTCTCCCAGTTAATATTTCAAAATAAGTAAACACGAGGTCATGTTATTAATTTATAGACGAATCAGTTAATTTATAGCTCAAGGAGACCGATTTATGTCTTTTTCCCCCCTCTGCATTTACAGTGTGCAAAAAAAATAAACCTACCCCCTGAATAACTTTTGATCGAATGACCGGATCTCTACGTTCCCTACAATGTAGTAGAATTCAGTCGTAATTCAATTTTAATGGCTCGAGGGTATGACCTCAAATATGCTAATGAGCTATATATGCTAATTCCTCAAATATGCTAATTAGTGCAGACGATATTTTCAGTTACGAAATTAGACACAAAGCGTACTTTCTCTGAATAAACGTACCGTTTTTTNTTTTTTTTTTTTTTTTTTTTTTTTTTTTTTTTTTTTGACGGATTCGGATTTCTGACCTCCAAAATACAAGGGGTCGCCGCAATCTGAGAAGCATGGTCTCCATAGTTTGGCCAGGTGAGCGATACAAAGTTTGGACCTATTAATGCTAATTTTACTTTTTGCGTATTTTAAAATATTTCAAGAACTTTGTAAGCGAATTGGAAAATTTTTTCAAGAAAATAGAAAAATCGTTTATCCAGAGATAATTCCATGCAAAATATCACTTCTAGTAAATATTTATTATTTTTTATTATTTATTTAACAATAGGCGAAAAAAGTTTGAATTGTAAAGTATACAATTTTATACACCAATTTAAAGAATGTAATTTTACATGGCAAAATACAAAGCTTGAGCGAAATATCTGAGAAATTCAATTTTAAATACATGACTTTTTCAAAATTCGATTTCTCAGTCGAACAATTTCACTCAAAGGCAAAATTAGATTCTTTAAAATGATGTAAAAAATTTTATTACTTACAATTCAAATTTTTTTTACTACTACTAAAGGAAATAATAAAATTAATAAAAGTATAAAATGATAAAAAATAAAACAATAAATATTTACTGAAAGTTATTTTTTTCATGGAATTGTCTTTGTACAAACGAAGTGTGTGAAAAAAATTTCGATTAGCTTAAACGATATTGCAAAAGACGCAAAAAGTAAAATTAACATTAAGGGGTCCTAACTTTGTATCGCTCTCCTGATCAAACTATG